TTGGCTCATATTCCTAATCACCTGGCCCTGCAACACAGTAGAGGCAGATTTGGTCAACAACTCCTATCTAGACATCTAAGCCCTCGTAATGGTAATAGCTGAGCACCTCGCAGTCGTCAATGGATCTTATCCTCACAACAGCATGTTCCCCATCCTTCATTTTAAAGCTAAATTACATAACTTGCCCAAAGACACATAAGAAATGTACAGCTGAGTCAGGACTCACCACCTCTCTCATAAAGAAATGCCAGTCCAGTGACCTCCCCACAGGTCCATCCTGCCTACGCAAGGCCCTTATTTCTATCCTAGTCTGAAAGCAGGGCTGGCAACAGACTTGCGGGGCCCCTTGGCAAGGCAAGGGGTGGAGCTTGGTTCTGGGTCCCCACAAGGGGTGGAGCCTTGGGTGGAAGGGTGGAGCTGGCGTCTAGCCTCCCCCCCACTAGTTGTCATTGCTGCCTGGACCGTGCCGCCCAGGACGCCAGCAGCAATTTAAAGGGCCCAGAGATCCAGCTGCTGCTGCGGCAGTGACAGCAGCCAGGAGCCCCAGACTCTGTTAGATCACTAGGCCCCAGGGTAGCTGCCCCTCTCCACCACTGGTGGTCGTGAAAGCAGGTATTACGTTCTAACCCGAGCTCCGCCACTGATTTAGTGTGTGACAATGGACAGTCCAAAGGTTTAACAAGATCCAGTGGCTGAATTCACACTAGAAATAAGAGGCATCCATTCCCCAGTGAGAGTAACTAACAATTGCCACAAGTTACAGGGCTGTGGTGCGTTCTCCGTCACTGGAAATAGTTTAGTTAGTACTGGCTGGTTTCCTAAAAGGTGTATTCTAGTTCAAATGGGAATGAATTTGTGTGCTGTGGCTGTGGAGACAGGAGGTGAGATCAGATGATCAGCCAGGTTCTTGTTGGCCTTCTCATCTATGAAGAGGGCTAACGTTTTCGTAAGTGACTGCTGATTCTGGGTGGTGTTTTGTCTCAGTTTTGGGGTGCTTGAGACACTTTAACGAGATGAGTTGGGTGTCCATAAGCAATGTGCACGTGTTGGCCTTTAACCTTTCTTAGGAACTGAGTTATCCCCCGTGTAAAAGAAAGAGAATATCCACTAGGAGGTGTAAAGAGTCTCTGCTAAGAACCTAGAAAGTGATTTATAAATGCAGAGTGTTATTCCTGTGGGAGTGTTTGTCCATTTCAAAAGTGTTCTCCTGGGATTAAAGGAGGTGTTGTGGCACGTATGAAACCACCGTGAGTCTGTGTCTTATCCATTTTAATCCCGTGCTGGGACATTGAATCCATTCAATTTAAGTTTAAACCATTCAATTTAAAACCATGGGAACTGTATCCAACTTCATTTAAACAAAGCATGGGGATTATGTTATGCTTTGGATGTGTTCTCCTTTGGAGCACAGCGTATCATCTGTTTCAACACGTTATTCTTCAGAAACCGTTCTTGGGAGACCCGAGGCTTGCAAAGGCAGGCCTGCCTAAATGATACAACTTACCACTCAGACTTACTGGTTGGCAATCGAATCACACAGCAGTATTCTATGTACACTAGAGTGCAAAGTTATGCAGACACTTCATACATAAGTTACACACACACAGCTAGCTTTGCCACACAGACTTTCATGCTGGTTCTAAAAAACTTTTAAAGTGGATGCCAAGGAGTCCTACAAAGTCTACAGCCAGATGTGTACAATACCCAAGTATTCATAAAACATGCTGATTATATACAAGGTGGATCAGGTCATAGGATTTATATGGGACATTTAACACTGAAATTGTATGAAAGGTGTGGAAGTAGCCAGCAGTTGATGTTCCAAGGTACAAATGAATTGATCTGTTATGGCAACACTTTCTGGTTTTTCAGCTGTTTGCAGCTGACTGTGTAGTGTCTTGGGCCTCTCTATTCTGCATTTTGCCGACCATTTGTCCTGGACCATTTGCCATTGGGGAGCCTAGGAAGCAGGGGAGCCTACAACATCTATGAGCAAAGCGGGTAAAAAGATCAAGGAGCATTAGCAGATGGAGGGATCAGCAAAGTTCAGATTAACCTTTTGCTTGGGGTGGACACAGCTAGAAAAACAGCTACCGGCTTAGTGAAGCACTTGGGAGAACAGGGCAGCACGCAGAGGGGTCCACAGAAGGGGGGTACCACAGATCCATGAAGATCAATTCTAGGTCTAACTCACTGTATGCTTACTCGGGTTATGTCATTTTCGCAGGTTAGATCCTCTGCGTAAGAAGAAAGTTGCAGTTCACGTGTCTGCCTACTCCTTGCATTGCTTTTTGTCTCTTGGCACCTTATATTTCCAGCTGGCATGCCTTCCCCCCTTCTTAAGCTTCTTCCTCTTTCTGTCACAGACACCTCTTCCCCTCTCTCTCTGGGTTGGCCTCACACACACACACCCTGTCCTGAGGCCCACATAGGGCAGAGAGAGATGGGTAACTCAGTAAGTTCCAAGCCAGATCAGAGCAGGGAGTGACTCATGCGGATGTGTCTGGACAAGCCCAGGTAATTAGTTTCTAATGAAGAAAATAAATAATAGGGACCAAAATCCAACTTCCAGCACAGTTTCTGCAAAGCCATTTCCAACC